ATTATTTTCTTCTATTTCAAGATCTAGAATCCCATGATTTTTGCTCTATTGAAATCTTTTTCTATGGCAGTTTAATATACTACTGATAAAAACCTGGACTAAACAAAAAATGTACATTTTATATGTAACAAAAGATAACATTAAGATCGTTGATCAAAATATCAGACTAAAAAGTACCTTGGCCTCTAATTGATAATTTTAGTTGGTATTGCCTTAGGGAATAGGTGCTGTTTTGATAAAAATAATAACTTAATTATACTACACAAATTGCCCTGACCAAGGTACTCATCACATTGAACAATAATTTAACATACTACAAAAATATTATAAAGCAACAATATTAATCACAGGTGGATAAGACATAATTAATATAAAAATCACATAAATGTTCAACCTGGCTGATGATGAAACATTGTCTCTTTTCCCTCTCAAAGAAACATAGTTCATAGATGAGTTTTCACTTTTTTATGTCTCTTCTGAGAATAGTTTAAAAATTAAAACGTCATGCTTCTTCATCTCAGATTAAATACTTTCCCTTCACAACCAAGACTGTGGTAATAAAATCTATCATTTTTACCACGATGTGCTGTCAAGATTAAACAAGAGGTGGACATGGAAAAGAGGGAAAGGAAAAACAAAGGGCCTGATATTCACTTTGTGATCTAATCCTTAGTAAGGGGTCACTGTCCCAGGAGCATCCCAGGAAGGAAAATGCAACTCAGGGAATCACAGTCTCACTCCTGGTCACCCTGCTGCTCTGGGGAGGTGCAGGGTGACCAGGTGCAACAGGGCTACATTGCAGAACCACTGACATGCCACCAGGTGTTTTGGGGGGAGATAGAGCTCCACCCACTCAAAGGGGGGGAGCTATTGAGCATTAGTCATGCAGAGTTGAAGTCTATTTCCTTGTGCCGGTGACAAGATGGGCCCTGATCTGCTCCTGAGGTATTGAGAAAACGCTCAATTACTAGAACTTTTATATTTTTGTCATAGGTTCATAGACTTGAGACATCTCTGTGCATCCCACCTGTAGATCTGGCTCTCTGACATATCCTCCTAGATGTCTCATCATCACCATCACGATTGCACCCCAACACCTGGCTGTTGCCTCTGACTCTCACTTCACTTCTGGACTCAGTATTGTCAACCCCAAGCATTCAAAAATTATGTCTGGCCTCCAAAATATCATGAGATTGACTTAAAATCATGAGATTTTAACATATAATAAATGTTGGGTTCTTTGTTTTCATTTTCTGGCTTTTGAACTTTTTAGCCATCATGTTTACAAGTTTTTCTCCATGAGTGTTAGAAACTTACCTACATTTTAAACAAAAATTGAGATAATTTAAAATTATAACTGGGTTCAAAAAAGGATTGGATAAGTTCATGGAGGACAGATCCATCAGTGGCTATTGGCCGAGCTGGTCAGAGAGGCAACCCCATGTTCTGGGTGTCCCTGAGCCTCTGACAGCCAGATGCTGGGACTGGACAACAAGGTATGGATCACTAGATAATTGCCCTGTTTTGTTCTTTCCCTCTGAAGCATCAGGCAGTGGCTAGTGTCAGAAGACAAGATACTAGGCTAGATGGACCATTGGTCTGACCCAGCATGGCCATTCTTATGTGAGTCTCATGTAATCACCTGGCTACAGAAGCTGGGGCTTTAAGTGAAACGCCAAATATTGTGAGACTTATGATAAAATCACAAGAGTCAACAACAATGTGCGTCACACATCTAAGCCATGTCCGTATCTTGCTGCTTTTTTCCATTGTAACAACTCTGGGATCTGGCCTTTTCTATCAACTAAAATTCTCATCTAGGCGCTCATGATTTCTTGTCTAGGCTCCTGCAATATTCTCTTCTCTGGCCTCCCTGACCCACATTGTCTATTAAAAATACAGCTGCTATGATCACCTTCCTGGACCAATTAAATCAACTTCCTCTTTGGATGCCTTGAATTCACTACATTAAATTCAAGAGTCTTGCCCTCATCCTTAAGGGCCGTCCCTAGCTCTGCCCCTCTCTATTTATCTCCTCCCGCCCAAGTGCTCTTGTGCCCTCTTCCTTGCTGACTCTTATGCTTGCAGCATTTCCCCAAACTGATCCATGAAGCCATTACCCTCTTTAAATCCTTCATGCAACCAAACAGAGCCAGAGCTCCCACAACACTTTTGCAGGGGAGGGACAGGAAGTGAGACAACGTGACCCCACAACCACCTCCGAATGGCAACACATGGCCCCAGGATCCTGTTCCCCACACCTTTCAGGGAGTGCCCCATGAAACAGCAGCTTCCCTAACTCTGGGCTAAGTGGGAGAAGAGAGAGGTAGGCAATCCTCCAGATATCCCCTGGAAGCAGTACTTGTACCTCGTGGTCAATTGCTTTGCTGGATAAGCAGCTTTCTCCTATTATCACTTACCCTTCCTTGTTCTACAACTTATGTGATAGTAATTTGTGTTACAATACAAGAGGTGCAGGGTTCAAACCGTGATGATGATAGTTACAGTTGAATATCAAAGAAAATTGTATTTTCTTTTAAAAAGTAAGCAATTATGTACAAAAACCTTTGTTAAAAAAGCACCATTTCAAAATCAAATATCGGAACAATCTGATTTTCAGTTTTCTGTACAATATTAATTCAGCCCTCTTCAGCACATGTATTATGATACCACCTTTAATTAAATTATCACATTTTTTTCCCACCGGACTCCCTGACTCATTCAGTGAACAAGAATGAGTAAGCGTCAGAATTAAATTTGCATGGGCAACTGTAAATTCTATCATATCCAAACATGAATATTTTTCTTTTACATTGTAGCCTAAATAATATTCCTTGAACAGTTTTATTGTAATATAAGTATTTCCAAAATGGAATACTATATCATAATGCTACAATACTTAATGATGATATTAAATAAAACCAATCCTGCCACTGACTGTTGGTGTGGGCAACTAGACACTTCCCCCAACATCATTTTTTGCCATATATGATTACCCTTTGTTTACGTTACTTCAACCTGTTTTGAATTCAAGTGATGAGTTAATATCTAAAATGATCAGAATTAATTTGTGCCCAGGCTGTGACAGGTTGTTAAGTAGCTGTACAGATTACCAGGGACCAGCCAAGGAGCCTTCCCATTTTCTATGTGTTCTATTCAAAACCACATGAAATGTGAAGTCCCTGTGTTCAGATAAGTGCAGGGACTGCTACCTCCATGCCACACCAGCAACCCACATTATCTTAAAAGTCCCCATTCCATATCTACTCACTTAGCATTACAGGTGCTAATCAGCAAGCATGCAGCTTGCCCAGGTGAGTGTAGTGGCAGGCTCTCTCCCCAGGCATGTTGTGGAGCTCTGGAAGGTATTCATTCTGAGGCAGAGTATCTCCCAGAGATCCCCCTGGAGAGTACAGCTCTGTATCAACTCTGAATGTACATGCGAGACACACTATCAAATGACTTCTGAAAACGTAAGGTCCATATTCTGATCTGATTTACACTCCTAAAAGCCTGAAGCTGCTTCCCTGAAATCAAAAGAGTTACTACAGTTTTAAAGGGGTATAACTGAGAATAGAATTTGGCTGTAGATATATTGGGCTAGATCCTTGGTCCCACCAAAGATGCTTTGTGCTGCTCCAATAATGTAAAGCAGTCTTAAAGCTGGTTGAAATGGTTACCTGGGGAAATTCCTGAGTGGTGAAGGACTGGTGTAGCTAGCACCACACCGCTGTCTCCTGCCCCTTACCCCCACCTCTCAGCTATCCGATGTAAAGCATGTAGTGGGGAAAAGAAAGTGTTACAAGAACACCCCAGCATTTCATCAATCTCTAGCTGCTAAAATTGCCACCTAGGGTCTATTGCAGCTTGTACAACTTACAGACCCTTGGGGACACGCTGAGTTGTTCCTCGAGAATATACTGGTGTCTGGCAGCTCAAGGAGCCATAAGGCGGCATCATCATCTGAGGATTTTGACCATTACACTCACTAATTTTGTAATTCTAAAATAAATATATCAAATTTGTGTGGGATTGATTTTACAGATTAATGCTTTTGTTATTCTCTAAAAGTTTAGGAATCTTTCTCTTGATACTGTAGTTGTTTCATTATTTTACAAGACAAAACATGAAAGTTAGATTTTGGTAGTAACCCTGCACACAGATGCAGAGATGGAACTCAAGTTGAGTACTTCTCTTGCTGCTTCTCCATTTTAACCCCCACACTCCCAAGATCGACACTACATGTACTTTTCTCCAATCTTTCACAAGCTCCCTGGTTTTCATTAGGTTTCCAATATGGTCGATAGATCAGTTAAGTCCATAAGGTACAAACTACTCAGCGCCAAGGTACCACTACTCACAAGTGAAGCAGCTTGCGGGACTTGGGCCTAAGTTCTTGGCTACTTCCTTTAATACCTCATGATGCATATCCTAACATACTGACGTGTATATGTGTGAATTTTCCAAAAAATTGATGTATCTGCTCTTTATCAACACCTATTTCACCTTTGACTAGGAAGGGAAACAGAGTTATCATATATGAATCACACTGTGTACCACACTAAGACACATACTTTCTATAAGAAGAAATTGGCACAAAACCAGAAGCACTTGAATGCTTACCTAGTTACATATCAAACATAGATAATGCATCATGGATCAGATTCTCAGCAGCAGAGGATTTATCTTTCTTTGGAGCAGTCCTCCTGGGGCCAGAGTGCTACCTCTATAGCCTGTATCTGACAGCAATGAGGCACAAAGCTGCCACAGTGCACCAGGAGCCCGATTCAGCTAAGCGCATGCTTCAGTGCTCTGCTGAAGTGGTACAAAGAAGATCTGGCCCACATACCATTCAGTAAGTAAGGAGGACAGAAACCTCCCAAAACACAAGAATTGCACATATACACCTCCCTTTATTTTTCAACTATTTAAAAAATGTAATGTGAATACTTTAGATACTGACTTAAAAATATAGTGAATAAGAGCAGGTTAGGACTTACCGTTACACCAAAGAAGTTGGTTTCATTCATAGCATCCAGAAATATTTTGCCAAGTTTGTGGTTTGTGTAGTTAAAATCCTCAATTTTTTGGTGTTTGTTTGTAGTGTTGAGATATTTCATTGCCCGCTGCAGTGTTTTGGCAATCACCCATATTCCATCGTAGGCATAACCATGAAATTTACTGGACTGTCCATCTCCCCGTTTGTCATTATACTCCTTTTCATATTGCTGTGGCGTCTGTGGAGAAGGAAATAAAACTTCACGACATAGCTCAGGACTTCACAGATTTTGGGTCCTGAACCTTCATTTTTTAAGTGTCCCATTGATATAGAAAAGATTTTTAAGGCAAGCGCTAGGAAAGAGTTAAAATCCCATGAGATCATGCATTCTTATTAATTTCAAGAGTGATGGTGGGAGGTGGAGGGAAAGAGCCTAGAAAGAGATGAATATGTATTGCACAGGCTGTGTATATAAGAAGCACCCATTTTAAGTAATTTTACTTTCATACATCAGTCTTCTGTTCCAACGCATCCAGCATCCTGGGTTACAAGCTGGTGATCCATAGAATTATCAAAGGGGAAGATTCTTCCTGATCTCTGTCACAGAGGTTGGGGTATGCCCTGAAGTGAGGTTTTATAACCTCATCATTTTTTCCTAATGTAAGTGATTTTTTTAAAAATCACAAAAGTGTCTAGGGTTTTGTTGTTATTATTGTTTTGTTTCAGAATCTTGCTAAGCTCTTGACCTGAGTAATAGCTTGTTGCAATGAGTTCCAGAATGGTAGCATTTTGCACTCAATCTGCACAGGTGTGAATGACTACATGAGGGCAGAGCAGTGGAGAATCAGGCCCATTTATTCATGGGCTGGGACTTCATGCATTATATTTTATACAGAAACAAATACACACAACACATTTTATGGGCCTGTCTACACTACCACACGGGGTCGATCTAAGATATGCAACTTCAGCTATGTGAATAGCATAGCTGAAGTCGACGTACTTAGATCTACTTACCGCGGTGTCTTCACTACAGTAAGCTGACAGCTGACACTCTCCCGTCGACTCCGCTTGCGCGTCTCGTTCTGGTGGAGTACCAGAGTCGATGGGAGAGTGCTCAGTGGTCAATTTATCATGTCTGATCCGGCGGGTAGTGTAGACATGCCGAAAGTGTTATAAAGAACATCTTGAAAAGACAAAGAACCTTCAAAAATCATACACATGGTTATGTGATATGCAGAATGTCAGCTTATTTATCTATATAAAATCTGGGGCGCATCCAATCCTGTGAGTCACAGAGGTCTAGTAAGGTTAACAATTTGCAGGATCAGGGTTTACCGAGTATAAATAATATATACAGCTAAGGAAAGAGATAGCAAAAAAGGTTTCTAATGATCTGTCTGCCCACATAGTATCTAGTACTGCGGATTGTAATGTGGAGATTTTGTATAAGGCTTGTGCTTTACTGCCTTAAGGGTATGTATGTGTATCTGTCTGTAGGGAAAATCCAAGAACAAAGACAACAGGGAGAGGGATTTTATCTGTATATCACCCTGCAGAAGAGAAGAAATAATATCTTACGTGTTTTAAAATAGCATACTGGAGGAGAAGGATAATCATATCAGCTGCTATCCAAGTGCAAATAAGTAAATAATAAGGATGATAATTAAAAAGAAATGAACTGACATTGTTTAATCAGAATGTTAAAGTACTTAACATTTTTCCAGTAAGCATCGATGTCAAGAAGTGACTCATGGAAAAACATGAGCACCTCTGATTAAAAAAGTGTTTGGAAATCTGGCAATTGCCAGTGGCAACCTTAGTTCTAGGTCCAATAATAGGTGCTTCCTAGGGCACCCCACTGTAAGGGGCACCAAAAACATAGGATCTGGTTGCCCTCTGTGCCTTGCAGTTACCTGTAGTAATACTGATGTGCTCTACACTCAACATCACCTTCTGAGAAAGGCTACTCAATAGCAGCACTGCTCTTCGGAGGCAGGCTACCTGCCTCCTAGCTGTGCCAGCAGCAGCGATTTCCTCCTAATTTGGGCCCTAAAAAATCTTTGGCCAGAAGAACAGTCTTCAGGGACACCCCAGAAGGTGGGAAGCGGGGAGGTGGAAATGAAATGAGTCATGGAAGAGGCAGCGAGAGACCTGGGAAAGAGGCAGGAAAGTGAGAGGACAACGTAGGAGGAAGTGGACCAGACAGGGAAATCTAAATGTGGGAGAAGGGAGGCAGAGAGATGGACATAAATTGGTTACAAAGGAGACTGGGAATGGTAGGTGAAACTTGGGGAAACCTAAGGAAGGATGTGGAGAAATGGGAGATTGGTTCTAAGAGCCCTAAGGATTCCTGTGCTTCGTAGACATTCATCCCCAGCAGGGGCAGCTCTATGTATTTTGCCGCCCCAAGCACGGCAGTCAGGCGGCCTTCGGTGGTGCGGCTGCAGGAGGTCCGCTGGTAATGCGGATTTGGCGGCATGCCTGCGGGAGGGCTGCCGGGCCCCCGCCCTTGGCGTACCCCCCCCCGAATTTCCCCCCCAGGCACGGGGCCCG